AAGTGTGCTACCTGAAAACACTCCAAACCACGGAACTGAAAGGAACTGGGGAACATGCACAAATGGAACCACAGAAACCTCAGCCAGCCAGAAGCCTCTCTGGCCCACCCCATCTCCACCCCTCCCCATTCCACAAGACACAGGCGTCTGAAGACAGTGAGCAGCCCTACAGAAAATGCCTTTGGGCACTGAAAATTCAGGGCCCCAGAGAAAAGCACTTCCCACCACTTAATCACCCAGTGTTTCCTTGTAGGTGCTGATGAATAACTGCATAACGAGCTTATTCATCCAGCAAGCATTAAATGGTCGCCTGCACGTCCTGTGTGCTGAGAATGAGGCAGTAACAAAGCCTCTCTTGGTGTAGCTTATGCTCTTGTAAGGGGATGACGGAACAAACCTACAAGTAGACACAGGGCAAATGATAGGCGGGTATAGAGGGAGCCATGGCAGGGCGCAGGCAGGCAGTGTCGGGGTGAAGAGCCCATCAGGACAGCATAGGGAGCTCCGGCCATGTGTGGTCTTTTTGGCAGGAGAAGCATTTTGCTTCCTGGGGTAGCAGGGAAGCTAGGTCTCCCACTCTCTCAGTGGTGCCAGGACCCCCTGTGCCGATTATAGGTTCTCCCGTGAGACACAGTCATCTGGGCTGGAACATCACCCCACTAGTATCTCCTGGGGGACAACTTCCCACAGCTCCCGCACTCTCCCATCACTAAGAACCTATTTCCAGTAGGGAAGCCCCTCTGTTTGAAATACCCAGAGTAGTTATGTTAGAGTAGGCAGTTAGTAAGACAGGAGTGGCAGAAAGAAAGGGAGATGTGGAAGCCAGTCACCTTTCTAGGTGGGTTTACACCCGTTCTTTACACCCATTCCTTGCCTAAAATGAGAAATAAGACAGAGCTAGGAAATCCCCCATGCTAATGCCTGCACAAAGGACACCAAGACATGTGTGAGGACTTTGGCCCATTCACGGGATCATTAGACTCCCCCTTCATGTTTCTCCTTCTGTATGCATTATGAGTAAGAGCATGCACAGAACCAGGACAGTTATATAATCTGAACCTGTCAATCAGCTAGCCCCACCTTAACCCACCCCTCTCACTTTCCTATAAACCAACAAGTATTCAGATAAGCAGGGCTGGTCCTGACATCTCAGGCTGCCTGCTCTCTCTTAGAAAGTGTGCTTCTGCCTTGCTAAATAAAGCTGTCTGCTAGCGTTCTCATCTTGCTGCATATTCCTTGTCCCCGTGTGCTGAAGGAGGGGTGAGAAAGAGCCCTCTCTGGAACAGTTACCACTGTCCTAACTGCACCTTGATTGAGACACAGGCAATTGCCAAAATCCAGGCAGGAAAACTGTCAAGGTCTGGGCTAGATTCCATGATTACAGAGCAAAACCAAAAAACAGAAAAACAGAGACTACCTGAGCACTGAGGGGAAAATTTCCAAAAAGTTATAATTACCCTCAGAGAGATACAGAAATATATATATATAAACAATAAAGAAGAACCCAATGCATGACAGGAAAGAAAAAGTAACATTTAAAATTAAAAATATAATAGATAAAACAAAAAATCAACAGGAGGGTGCAAAGTACTACATGTTTGTATCCTCCCCAAAATTCGTATGTTGAAGCTCTAACCCCCAATAAGATGGTAAAAGGAGGTGGGCCCTTGGGAGGCAAACAGATTGAGATGAGGTCCTGCTGGTAGGGTCTCCATGACAGGATTTAGTGCTCTTATAAGAAGAGGGAGACCAGAGACTTCTCTCTTTCCCTCCGTCTCCCTCCCTCACTCTCTCTGTCATGTGAGGAGGACACAGCAAGCAGACGGGATGCACTCGCATCCTGATCTTGGACTTCCAGCCTCCAGAATAGTGAGAAGTTGTTTAGCCCCCAGTCTGTGGTACTTTTGTTATAGCAGCCCAAGCTGACTAAGACGAAGGGTTTGACAGCAGTATAAGAAATTACCAGAAAGCAGAACAAAACAACAGAGACTGAAATTAGCAAGGAAAAGAACATCAGGGACTAATCTAGAAAGTCCGATCTCCAATCAGAGTTCAACAGTGTGAGAAAAAGAAATTAGTGAAGAGGACATTATTCACCAAAAAACAGCATATTTACTCAACTTTCAGCTAAGAAAATGGAGGTGCCTGATTTCAAATTTTCCCACAGCCTCCCACACAGCAATTAAAAGCACACAGGAGCTATCCTTTCAGCATTTCTAGGCAACAGAGATTATAATAACCTTTAAACTGAATTCCAAATTCCAACGGAGCTTCTATCGGCACCAAGCCTTTGAGTGTGAAGATTAGGGGAGGGGTGACAAGAGACTGAAAGTGCAGAGAAGCACGGGATGCAGAAAAGCAGAGCAAACCACTGCATAAAGGGAAAGGCTGGCATTCAGTGCTGGATACTGAACCTGGGCAGTACTTGATAAATCATGGCGCTAGCTATAGAGAAAGGCTTGACAGTGAGTGGGACTGGAACAGTGGCTGTAAAGAGCAGAGCTTCTGTGGGAGAATCAGCTTACTAGAAAAAATGTGGCATCTTGGAAGCATGACAGTGAAGAAAAAGAGGAAATAGAAGGAGAATTAAGTATTCTGGGTAAAAGGATAATATGTGAATCCTGTCTGTTCTAACAGTAGAATGAACAGCTAAAAAGCAGGAAGAGAAAGAGAAATGCAGAATAAGATCATTAACTGTCATAAGGGTAATAAGTAGGAGTCAAGGTTGCCTCTACAACTGGCAGTTGAACAGTAAAAAGTAAGGAAGTAGAATTAGGCATCCTATAAAGGAAACTTCAGGAATGATAAGACAAATTTTGGTAAACACAAAATTATTTTTCAAAAACAAAAAAAGACATATCAAAGAAAGAATATCACAGTAAAACACACACCCACATAACTGAATTCTGCCGACACATGAGCCTAAAAGAGGAGCCCACACCCTAGAAAGGAGCACAGCCTGGGAAACTGAAAGGAGGACCCAGCTGTGCCAGGACTGAACTGAACCACAGAAATCATGAGGTAATAAATGTGGTTGTTTTAGAGCACAAACTCTGTGGTAACTTGCTATACAGCAATAGAAAAAGAATACAGAAGTCTATAGAAAAATAAAATAAAATTGAACTGATTTTTATCAAGTGCCCAGAGAATACTAATATGCTTGAAGTAAAAATATTGGAATATGTGGGAGAAAATTGTATAAACAGAGAAATCAGCCAGTCAAAGGTGAGGGATATTAATACTAAGAATATAGTAAAGATTTTATAAGGAGAAATGTTAACCATGTGGCTCAAAACTACACTTTTGTATTGTTATAAATACTGATGTTGATTTAATCATAAATTATAATGCAACTATGTTAGGTGATGTGGATTGTAGGAGACCAATGCAGGATGTCAATATACTATGTCTGATATGAACAAATCAAGAAATAAAATAATACAGCCTTTTTTATTTTAAATGAGGAGCTGTACTAGTGGAGTCAAAGGAGTCAAAGCTGGCTGCCCCCTGGGAGTGGCGGAGCGGCAGGAAGAGTGGAATGAAGCATTGCTGTTCTCTGATAAGACATTAACACTTTTGCTTGAACTATAGTCATTACGCTTGGGATCTACCTCCAGTGCATAATAGTTCATTTTCAGGGTTTACATTTTCAGGCTTTTACATTTCACGGGGTATACATTTTCAGGAATCTTGCATGCCAGTTAGTAAACAAAGTGTCATTAAAAATTGAATTGTATAAACTTACAATTAAATAGATCATATTTAAAAGTTACGTAATAAACACTCAAAATTCATCACTTCCTTATTATTTTATTGCATTTTAGTACCGGTATACTTTTCAGGTCACCTCTGTCCACCGCATTTATGCTGAAAACATGATATAACGCGGTGTGGTGCTCTGCAGTTCCTCCCAATCCATGCCCACCAGTGTCACAGTGGTAGCCTGAACTGGCCATGGTGGAACTATTTACAGCATGGAAATAAGCACATGTCTCAATTCAGAGCTTAATTAATGCATTTTTAGTGTCTAAATTCATAAACTGATAAACAAAATGTTAATAATGGAGACTAAAATTAAAATTGTGCCATAGTCATACCTGCTATATTGTGAATAGCACAAAAAATCTTAAGAAATAGCCTTCCAGTGTTTGAAAACTATTATTCAGTTCAGCAGAGAAGCTCACCTACATGTGGAACGAACTTCTTCACTGTTTAACTTTTGTCTCACTTGTTACCACAAATGAAAACATCAACCAACATTCATGACAGAACTCTACTCTCTCATCAGTTGCAACCACAGATTGGCTACAGATACAAGAGTTTGGCAAAATATTCATGAAAGCCTTCTGTGAGCACCAACTGAGAATCTGGGATTTGCAATAAAGAATATTGTGTATTGTATTACTATTTGTAAATTAATGATACACATGTATATATGTACCTTATGTACATATATAATACATACATTTTTATCCACAACACCAGTAGGATAACTAACTGAGCTCTGTTCCAAGAACTCCATGTTCCCGCGTTTTCCTGTCTGCAATTATGTATAATTTTAAATAAATAAATTGGCACTGCCCTTTCCAGAATTAAAAATCATGAGACTTTAGATTGAAAGGGACCTACCAAAGATGAAACACAATAGTAATAAATGCAGAAACAAAGTTGCCTTATGTTTCCAGATCCTTAAAAATACTCAAAGTTTTACCAAGTAACTATATATTTACATATAACTCATACTGGAAATTATTAGAAATATGAACAGTATCAGTATAATAAAATACTATCATTATTTACAAAAGTAAAATTGTGAAAAATTAAATATTTACATCTAAGTAAAGGCTAAAGTAATTATAATACATCTATGTGGTAAAGATTTTGTAATTAATAATGAGACTTACATATACTTTTTATGAAATTAGATACATTTACAATAAAATACTAAGAATGCATAAAGTGATATGAAAAAATCTTAAATATTCAAAAAAAGTGGACAGAAAGTTTTTTGGAAAAAATACCAGCATGTTTATTATTATTAGTGGGAGGAATTGTTATTTTTATTTTTGCATCTTTTCACATATCAGTGATTACCCAATTTCTCCAAAAGCACTTTCATAATGAAAAAAATATAAGGGTAACATAGAAAACTGCAAAAGGAAATTGAATAGAACATTATTTGACCCTTGGTGACAGAAGAATTTAGCTCTATTTAGAAACCATGAAGGGATGAAATTAGATAAACAGGCAAAGGACATAAACTAGTGATTCATTTTTTATAAGAATATGATTCAGTAAACAAACACATGGGAAAACACCCAATCTCAGTAGCAAGGAGGAAAACAGTATATAATTAGTCTAATTAAGAATAAGACAATGTACGGACAAATGGAAATGAAACAGTAACAAAAATATTTGGACTATAAATTGGAATGAGGCCTTTTGAAAGTTTATATTTGCATTAATTTGTGTGTGTGTATGTATATGTACACATCCACATATACATATGTACACCTTTAATCATTATTTCTAATCACTGATTGAACAATTTCAGTTCTAGATTCTATACTAAGAAACCAATTCCAAAGCAGATAAAGCTTTCTCACAGCACAAACTACTAGACAAAAAACAATGGTAGGCTGGGTCACATGCACCCAAACATACTCATACAACAGATACATTATACACCTAGCTAAATTATATTTAAATTTTTTCATTAAAATATTTATATATGAATGGGTAAAAAATATAGTGTCATGTGAAAAAAATACAAAATTGTGTAACCAAGTAAATAAAAAATAATAACCATTAAATACTGTATGTTGAACACTATGCTCATTGCTTCACACATTTAATTTTGTTTAATCTTCAGAACTGTGTAAGTAGATATAAGTATTACCCCAATTCTGTAAATGATGGGACTTCACAAACTAAAAATTACACATGATAAAAACTGAGATTAAGTATAACAAATGTTAATTGAGGATTATGTTCCAGATTATGAGTGAGTTCTTCTTATTTAATGTCCCTGTTTTTTTTCTGTGTCCTAGAAATGGAAATCTGTTCTATTTATATCTGGGATAAAAGCAATGCACGTAATTTTTAAAAATTGGTTATTTGACAATAAAAGCATAGATCTAATGAATATAGTATACAAGCGATAGGGAAATGTTGGATCTCTAGCAACAAAGGAAAACAAGTAGAGATCATAAACAGTGTAAGTGCATATTAAGATGTATGATTTGACCAATAGAATGTGGAGAACAAGTATACATTGAAATATCATTTAATAAGATAGTATTTTTAATGCCTAGCAATTGTGTAAGAATATTTAAGGTAAATTCAAACAAAATAACTTACAGACCAAACAAAAAAATAAAACTTTAAAAATCTAAAAAGAAAATCTACAAATAATAGAATATTTCTCAGATCCATATCAAGAGAGCAATCTCAACTTTGAAGCAGTATAACAAAATCACAAAGGGAGAAACAAACATCTGAATATAAAATATTTACCACCTGCAGAAGGAAGAAAAAACAACTTAAAAAGCAACAACTAGAAAATAAATTTTTAAATATTACTATTGGGAAATAATCATATTTTTCGATTTAATTTTGCATTTCAACTGATCTTTATATTAACATCCCATTAGATATCTGAAAAAAAATTAGACTATCTCTCATTCAAAACTATACAGAGGTTTGCAAATAGTAAACAAGAGAAAATATAATCCTGAGTAATAACCAAAATGCAAATTAGAGCAAAAACTGTGTCTTTCACTTCATAGCAAAAAACATAAAGACGATGTAAGCACCCAGCAGGTGCGATCACCATGAGGCCATCATGGCTCGCTTTAAATCTTACAGCCTTTTATAAGACATTTTAGGCACAAAACAGTCTCACATTATTTCACTCCCCACCTCCAGTACGGGACTTTGATTTTCTGATTTTATCCTCAGCCCAGGGAATCTAGTACCTCATGCTGTTCTCACAGCGGCGCTGAGGAGCAGATGCCAGAGCCCCCGAGCGCGGCGCAGGAGAGGGCAGAGCTCGGGCCGGGTGGCGGCCGTCGGCGCGGTTCCCAGGCCTCCCGCTCGGAGTCTGGTGCGTCACTGCCGCGCCGTCAGGAGCCAGTGAGCGCCGCCACAGCCCCCTTTCGGTAGGCCTGCTGGACCCCCGAGGTCCGTCTGCAGGAGACACCACGCCTGAGTGGGTTCGAGTGGTTTGTCGCTTACAGCAAAAGCAGAACAGCCTGAGCCCAGCTCCACTGCTCGGTTCCACGGGGGAGGCTGCGCCCGGGGTTGCGAGTGACAAGCAGCCTGGGTAGAGGGTCCTCAGCTTCCGAGGAGCTGACCCACTACAGCCCTGTGGCTGTATAGCCTGCAGCTGTCCCAAAGGGACATAAAGTTGATGACCCGTGCTTTACTGATGCAGTGGCAGCCTCTGTGAGACGGGTGGGGTAAGCAAGCCGTCCTGACAGAGCACGCGGGGCAGCTGATCCCTGCGCCCCAGTCATCACAGGCCGTTCTACAAAGACCTGGGCCTCTGTGGCTAAGCCTTTCCCTACCTGGCCTGTGTGGAGACCTGCAAGATCATCAGGGCACTGTGTGGAGCTAATCCCCACGTTGCTTTTTCCATGTTCCATATTCTGCAGTTGTTTCCCCAGAAGGACTATCTTTCCAGTATGTCCCCCAAATGGGGAGTGGGATCTGCATCCACTTGGGACTTCTGGGCCTGTCTCCATGCAGTGTAAGTGTTGCAGGGGAGGCATGCGTCTGCTTCTGGCAAGGCTGGCAGGCGTTGCTGAGGTCGGAGTGCAGGTTGGATGAGGTGGGTTAAATAGAATCACCGAACTGAGTAGGGCCTCTCCACCTGGAATATAGTTCGCTGTTCCAGTGGAAGAGACCCCATTACCACCACCACCACCACCACATTCCACAACTCCAGCCCCATCCACGGGGCGGGACGGGCTTTACCCAGGCACTGCTGGGTTCTCTTCGTCAGCAGCCCGTAAGGCAGGAGGACTTCAGACTCCGTGTGCGGGAAGGTCTCTTATGGCAGGTGTCCCTAACACCTCCTAATGAGGCATATGTGACACTTCTCTAGATGTTTTGTGTCCCGACACCTGGGAGGTAGAAATATCAAACAGTTCAGGGCAAAAAGGCCTTGGACTTCCCATGTTTTTCACATGTGGGTTCCAATGATCAAACTATATTAACAGCAGTTCACTGGACAAAGGTACTGTGTTAGTTTCCTAGAGCTGTGTAATGAATTATCACAAACTGGGGGACTTAAATGACAGAAATGTATTCTCTCACAGCGCTGGAGACTGGAAGTCTGAGATCCAGGTGTAGGCCAGTCTGGTTCCTTCTGGAGGTTCGGAGGCCCTAGGGAAGACCTGGTTAAATGCCTCTCACCTAACTTCTGGTGGCTGCCAACAATTTTGGGCATTTTTTTCCCCTGTAGACACATCACTCCAATCTCTGGTTCCATCTTCACATGGTGAATTAGCTAGGGTATGCCTGAGAAACAGAAATAGGGCATATATATGAAAGAAGATGTGACACACATGTTCTTTCTATTACCCAGCCATAAAAAATAATGAAATCTTGCCATTTACTACAATATGGATGGACCTAGAGGGTATTATGCTATGTGACATAAGTCAGATAAAGAAACACAAATAGCATATGATTTCACTTATATGTGTAATCTAAAAAGAAAACAAATGAACAAACAAAACAAAACAGAAAGACCCACAGATACAGGAAACAAACTGTTGGGTACCAGGGTGGGGAGAGTTTGGGGGAGTGGACAAAATAAGTGAAGGGGCACAAATTTTCAGTTATAAAATAAGTAAATCACAACAGTGTTGTGTAGCATAGGGAATATAGTCAATAACATTGTAATAATTAGTATGGTGACAGATGGTGATGACTTATCACCAGGTTTGTTTTATAACAATGTATATTTTGAATCACGATGATGTACACCTGAAACTAATAGGATATTGTATGTCAATTATACCTCAATAATAAAAAATGACCCAGAATAATTTTTTTAAAGCCCCAACATAGTATTGAAGAAGAAGAACGAAGCTGGAACACGGATAGTACACAACCTCAAGACTTACAATAAAGCTAAGTAATCAAGATTGTATGGTACTGGCAAAAGAATAGACAAGTAGGTCAATGGGACAGAATAGTGAGCTTATAAACAGATCAACTATATAAATATAGTCAACTGATCACTGACAAAGGAACAAAGGCAACACAATGCAGCCAAGATGGTCTGTCTTTTCAACAAATGCTTTTGAACAACTGGCCATCCACATGCAAAAATACCCTAGACATAGACTTTACATAATCTGAAAAACTAACTCAAATGGACCACAGAACTATATATAAAATGCAAAGCTATAAAACTCCTAGAAGATACCATAGAAAATGAGTTTGGTGATGACTTTTTAGATATACCAAAAGTTCAATCTATGGAAAAAAATAACTTATAAGCTGGACTTCATTAAAATTAAAACTTTCTGTTTTAGTAGATATTGTCAAGAAAATAAAAAGACAAGACACAGCTTGAAAGAAAATACCTGCAAAGACATCTGATAAAAGATGAAAATCCAAAATATGCAAAGAAATCTTAAAATTCAACAATAAGAAAATAAACAATCACACTTAAAATGAGACAAAGGCATTTAACTGACACCCCACAAAAGGAGATACGCAGATGGCATAGAAGCATGTGAAAAGGTGCTCCATATCGTATGTCATCAGGGAAATGCAAATTTACAAAAACAATGGGCTACAGCTCTGCATCTATTAGAATAGCCAAAATCTGGAACACTGATACCAAATGCTGGCAAAGATGTTAGCAACAAGAACAAGAACTCCTATTCACTGCTAGTGGGAGTACAAAATGGAAGGCCACTGTGGCAGACAATTTGGCTGTTTCTTACAAAACTGAGCATAGTCTTACCATATGTTCAGCTACAGCACTCCATGGTATTTATGCAAAGGTGTTGAAATCATGTCCACCCAAAAACCTGTGCATGGATGTTTATAGCAGCTTTATTTATAAGTGCCAAAACTTGGAGGCAACCAAGATGGATCTGTAGATGATAGGTAAATCAACTGTCATATAACAAGACAATGCACTAAAAAGAAATGAACTAGCAAGCCATGAAAAGACATGGAGGAAACTTAAGTGCATATTACCAAGTAAAAGAAGCCAATATGAGAAGGTCACATATTATCTGAGTCCAACTATACAGTAGCCTAGAAAAGGCAAAACTATGGAGACAGTAAAAAGAAAGTCAGTGGTTGCCAGGGGTTGGAGAGCGAGATGAGCAGGCAGAGCGCAGAGGGTTTTTAGGGCAGTGAAAATGTTCTGTATGTTACTACAATGATGGATATTTGCCATTATACATTTGTCAAGACCCACAGAATGTACAAGAGTGAATGTTAATGTAAACTATGGACTTTGGATGATAATGTAGCAATGTAGGCTTATCAATGTGACAAATGTAGCACTCTGTTGGAGGACGTTGATAATGGGGGATGCTGTGCCTGTGTCAGGAGACATGATATATGGGAATCTCTGTACCTTCTTCTCAATTTTTCTGTGAACCTAAAACTGCTCTAAAAATAACAGTCTTAAAATATAAAAAACAAAACGAGCATTTTAGGTTTTAGAGTTTGACCAAATCCCATAAGTTTTTATACAGCTTTTCATTAATTTCATTTTCTCAGTAAGCTATCATTACATTTTTTCATTCCCTTTCTGGCCTAAGAGCTATTTAGAATTTGCTGCGGGGTGGGGGGATTGCACCAGAAATATGAATCAGTGAATAAATCACCTGTTTTTCTAGTTTTAAACCTCATTTTCAGCTGTTCTGTATATACATTTACAACTATATGAACCATGAAAGAAAAGCCCCAACTCATCAGAGTCCCTATTTATCTGTCCTCAGGAAGAAACAAAAAATCCTACCTCAGCATGCTTCATAGCTGTTTCCTGTCTTTCACTGCTGATGAGTTCTTGGCTAAAATTCTCCATAGCTGTGAATACAACCAATAAAGTAATATGAGATTTTTTTAGTAATACATGCCTCCATTCCATAAGGTTCCTTTTATGCTATTTTTTTCTCCATCTTATATGTACTCTAACAATTCAAATTGAGAGGAGAAATAAAAGCACTTTGGGAAACTTATTTATATCTGTTTTATTAAATTCAAACTCAATCCACAAATGCAGTCAACAGTGCGCATCAGAGCCAGAAGCTACTTGGGGAAAATTTCTTCATTTTATCCTACTCCACATTGTTAGATTCACTAAAAATGTGTTGAAGAAACAGGCAGGAACACTGAATGAATTTAAATCTATTTCAGCTGCTGATTTAATCTGATAAATATGTACGTCTCTTTAGAGAGTGAACTAAAAAATAGGTTCCACAATATGTGAAGTAAAAGGATAAAAGAAAAATGCCAACATGAATGTCAGTCATTACAGCCCTTCTACCAGCAGCCTTTTGTGAGCCATTTGGTGTAGAGGGCCCTCAGTGACTAAAATGAGCTGATAAGAAGGAAAAGTTAAAAATGGGCTTAATAGAGGTTTGGAAGAAAACCAAGCAGGTATCAGGGAGGTCTTCCCTCCAGACACGGTTTGATTTAAAACACTTGTTCTCAAAACTGGCCAAAAGCATCAGTTCTACCTGTGAGCTTGTTAGAAATGCAAATTCATGAGCCCCTCTGTGACTCAGAATCCCTGGGGATAGAGCCCAGAAAACTGTGTTTAAAGCTCTGCAGGATGAAACCATAAAACTCCTAGAAGAAAACACAGGCAGTAAACTTGAGCGTCAGCATTAGTGACTCTTCCTGGATATGTTTCCCCAGGCAAGGGAAACAAACACAAAAATAAAAGCAGGAGTACATCAAACTGAAAAGCTTTCGCACAGCAAAGGATGGCAGAATTAAAAAGCAACCTAAAGAGTGGGAGGATATATTTCCAAATGATGTTAAGGGGATAATATCCAAAGTATATAATGTACTCATACACCTCAACATCAAAAAATAAAGAATCTGACTTAAAAATGGGAAAGGATCTCAATAGACATTTTTCCAAAGAAGAGATACAGATAGCCAGCAGACATATGAAAAGACACTCCACATAACTAATTATCAGGGAAATACAAATGAAAACCACAGTGAGATATCACCTCACACCAGTCAGAATGGCCACCATCCAAAAGATGAGAAATAACAAGTGCTGGCAAGGATGCGGAGGAAAGGGAGTCTCCTGCACTGCTTCTCAGTTGCAAATCGGTGCAGCCACTATGGAAAGCTGTATGGAGTGTTCTCAAAAAACTAAAAATAAAAATACCATGTGGCCCAGCAATTCCATTTCTGGAAATTTACCAAAGAAAACAAAATCACTAATCTAGAAAGATACATAAACTCCTATGTTTATGGCAGCATTATTTACAATGGCCAAATATGGAAATAACATAAATGTTCAGATAGATAAATTGAAATAAAAGATGTACATATATACAATGGAAAATATTTAGCCATAAAAAAGAATGAAATCCTGCCATTTGTGACAGGGATGGACCTAGAGGGTATTATGCTCAGTTTAATAAATCAGACAGAGAAAGACAAATACGGTTTGATTTCACTTATATGTGGAATCTAAAAAGCAAAACAAATGAACAAACAAAAGCAAATCAGACACATAAGCAAAGAGAACAAACTGGTGGTTACCAAAGGGATGGGGATGAAGGAGTAGGGGAAATAGGTGAAGGGCAAAATATTAGTGAGAATGTTAAATATCTTGATCTGAGTGATGGTTACATGAAGGTATACACATGTCAAAAGCCATCAAGCTCTATGCTAAGATTTGCACATTTTATTGTGCATACTTCAGTATAAAATTTTTTAATTTAAAAAATAAAGTAAAAATAATTACAAAAATAAATTAAGATCTCCCAGAGATTCTTATGCATATTAAAGTTTGGGAACCACTGAGTAGAGGAAGAGTTTAAATTAGACAAATTTGGTAGAAGAAGAAATTCAAGGGGTCAGAACTAATTGGGAAAACACCTGGAAATAGTGACCTGGCTTCTGGGATTGGTATAGCCAGAGCAAGACCACAGCCCACAGATGGTAGAGAAAAGGCCCGGAGAGGAGGTATAGACTTTTGATTGGCAGAATTATTTGCAGGAATTATACAGGATTTGGGATCCTAGAAAAGCTAGGTGGTTTTAACAACTTTATTCTACTCTCAACAGGAAACTGAATTGTGAAATAGGTAAACCAAAATTTAAGTCCAGTCATAAAGGTCAGAAACAAATTAGAGTCTAATAGAATCGTTAGATAAATAGGGCAGGGAAAAAAATGAACACTGCTAAGACACATACTCTACAGGCATCTAGAGCTGATCTGCTATGTATACACAGCAGGTCCATTGTCAGCAACAGCTCAGGTCCTACTGCAAGAACAGGCTGAGGGCCGTGATGTGGTGCCTGCTTTGGGCTGCACTGACTTGAAGACTATTTCCATCGAGACAGTGGCAAGTGGAAGAAGGAGACAGCTGTAGAGGAAATAGAAAACTAACCTTCCTAATTTTAGCACTGAAAATCAAGATTCTGCCAAAACTCTCAGTTGTAGGAAAACTGAGGAGTTTGGTCACCCTACAGCCAAGTAAATTTCTAATTTTCAAAGGTAAATGTAGCATTTATAATGTAGTCTTCGGTATCTTGGCACCTTGTTAAGTTAAAAATATTACTTCAATAATAACTTTAATAATAATTCAAGAGATTCATGTGGCCAGGAAGTATGCATTTCCAAATTACATAACTATTGATGTTTTGTAAATGATGGACCAAAAAAGAATTGTAGGTGCACATTATGTGCAATAGATTTTCTTTGCAACACCACTATTCAAAAAAATGAACAGGTCATATTTTTAGCTCTTAATTAATGCTCACTAGGTGGGTGGGGCATTGAAGAGCTATGGGACACCTGGCCAGGCAATGCCACTGAAACTCAAGGACAAAACCTCGGAGCAGATGTGTTGTAAATTAATTACAAGTGGATGATCAAAATCACTGAATCACAAAGTACTGGGTACATAAAGGAGATTCCAAACAGGTGCAGGGTAAGACAACCAACTCTATAATCTATCACATTAAATTTGAGGGCTTATGTCATGTTATTAGAACCTTGTAAAGCAAACCAATTCCACTTAACTTGAAAAGAACATTTCAGCTCTTGTCTTATACCTTTGATATAAATCATTAATATTAGAATGGTTTCTGGAAAATCCTTCTGAAAATTACCAGATCTTTAAATTAATTAATTATATAAAATCTATTGATATATGTAGAGGACTTGGGACCCATTCCTCTGAATCATGAATGTGTAATTATGCACTCTAGTTCCTAAGTTACATAAACAAAATGCAAAAGCTAATTGGAACTAAAAGATGGTATTATCTCTTGCAGAGAATTCAGCTGCATGGACTGAGGAATACAATGATTTGAGGTCCTCTGAAAGGCAAAGAACTTTATAAGGATGGTGTTCAAAAGCACCCCTTTACCCCCCAACTCAACTTTGTGCAGTCTGTGAGAAAAAGGGAGTGAATAAAGATGACTTCTAGAGGAGACAATTGTCCTGATAATTTGTAGTCTAATTGTTTGGATATTCTTAAGCTATCTATTTACATAGCCCAAAAGTCTTTAGGAAAGGAATAAATGGGAAATCAGTAAATTTATTCTAAAATAGCCAGGGAAAAGTATGAAAGAAAAATCTGTTTTTAATGTCTGGGTCATGTTATTTTACTTTAAAACAACAATTCCTGGGGAAGGGAGAGAGACTGCCTGGGCTCTTCCACCCCTTAAATTGATTTCAGGCCTCTGAATGATTCTTAACAACACATTTCAACAATATGTCTTGGAACAGACAAAGAAATAACCAATAATTTTTTAAAGCAAGTTTTTTCAGTTTTTTTTTAACATGACAAAGAATGTTTTGTAATGCTAAATGATTTTCAACATGGACTTATTAAAGTTTCTTACTATTGATGACTTGTGGTCACTACATATCCAATATGTGAATCTCCATCAGTCATAAGATCCTGGCTCTGCCCACAGGCTGAGTGTGTGTGCACAAGATTTACACAGGATAGAAGAAGAAAGAGCACTTCTTGAATGTGAGACTTTAAACTCTCTGATATGAGAGAGTCTCCAGGGTCAGTTACAGCAGTTTTAAATAAATAAGTAGAGGATGGGTGCTTTGGATTTAGATGGTGAATAGCTAACAAAGTCAATTTGTTAAATTGTTAGCTCTTGGTTAAATTGTTAAGGAAGGATGGATGAGTGCATGGATGGATGGATGGTTGGATGAGACAGATGGTAGATAATAGGTAGGTAGGTAGATAGATGATAGATGATTGAAAATTATTCAATGGGTGAAGAATTATTGATAAGAAACTTTAAGTTGTGAGTGGGTTTAGAGCAGGGAGCAGGTAATGCACGGGTAGTGAATGGATGTGCAGTGAGGGTTGGTAGTGAGTGGATAGAGTGAAGAATAGGTGCTGAGTAGTAAGGTTGGGGAATGATGAGTGAGCATGGGGTGTGAAGTAGATTGTGGATGGAATAGTAATGAGTAGGTATGGGGCAGGGGTAGGTATGAAAGGGTATGGAGAAGGAAGGCAGTAGAGGTAGAGGTGGGACAGGAAGTAGTTAATGAGTCTGTGTGGTTAGAAGGTAAATACCTTTAACCCTTTAACCTTGAGTGAGTTGTTGAGGGGGCTAAGGAAGTAAGTAGGTAAGGAGCGAATGTAGATTGTGAGTGGTTAGGCAGTTTGTATGATACACCGTACAGTTTTTAAGTGGATGTGAGGCAAGGTATTAAAAGCAAATAAGCAGGTAATGAGGGGTTTGGAGCAGGATGCAGATAGTAAGTAGTAAGTAGTGAACAGATATGGATACTGGACCTGGTCCTTGTGAGGAGATGTATCTAGTCCATTGGACCTGACCTTGGACATGAATTTGGTTTTGGAACTGTACTTTGGACATGAATCATAAACAAAAACTTTCAGTCTAAAGCTTTAACCTCTTCACTGGACATGGACTTTGGTGCTGAGTATTGGAACAGGCCTTTTACCTCAGGCCTGAACTTCAGCCTTGTCATTATACCTGGACTTAAACCAAATTTTTCATGGATGCCGGACCTGGGCCTTGAACCTAGACCTTTAATAACCATGTCTTGGACCTAGACCTTAAAAGTGGAAATTGGACCTTGTACCTGCACTTTGGGTGCAAACCTCAAACTTGGACTTTTGACCTAAATCTTGTGCTTGG